GTTGGAGGATACTTGCAAATCTGAAGCCTTAGTTCTTAAGCGTAAACATGATGACCAAGATGATCCTGATCACCATGAGGTGGAGAAAAGTCAGTGAATAAATGATGATGTTATTGTTCGTCTGGCTGAAGATTCTGAACAAGTTGGTGATGCATAGACTTTTGGTGGTAATATGCCTGAAAGAGGAAAACAAATGGTGCAAATCATTTAGGTGGATGAAACTGGTCCAACAGCTGAAAATCCTGAGGATACAGATGTTAGAGAGACAAAGCTGAAGGCAATGAATGATATGTTCTCAAATATCATTTTCATTGATTCTAATAAGGAATCAAAAGGTGACAAGGCTGAAGAAGTAGTGCTGAGGATCAAAGATGAAATTGAGGTTTTTATTTCTTTCTCTGATCAAGGCTTTATTTATTTTGGAGAATTTGAAGTAGATCATGTGGTTTCGATGACTGAAACATCAGTTAGAGTGTAACAAGCAGAACCTGTTCCACATTTTGTGCCTCTAGTAACACATCAACAACTAGAGTCTTCCAATGTATCAAAGCTTGCAGCTATGAAATAAGCTGAGCAGACTATCAGATGGGAGAGAACAAGGATGAACACTGCTTTCTTGGAGGATGATGAAAGACAAATTTTTGTAAGGCAATTGAAAGAGTTAGATCCTTTCAAGGGTTTTAGAATCATAAAGCTCAATAAAGATCATGTCCAGGAGTAGATCTACATGCTTAAAGCTCAGTATTAGATGAGGAAACATGTGAACACAAAGAAAAAGATAGTCTCCATAAAGGAAATTTCAGCTAGAAAGTTCTACATGTTGTACTATCCAACTTTTAAAATTCTCAAACAAGATGGCAATGAATGGTCATACTCAACTTGAGCTTGAAGACTTAGAATTTCTATATTGTGAGATGAGGAGGAGGACAATTAGACCTCAGGATGTTACTTTGGTTCCGAATGCCATAAAAAGATTCATGAAAAGATAAGCCAAGTACTCCTTGATCACAGACTTCCAAACGGGTGTTGAAACCAACTAGAAGTAAGTTAATCTACTCCAACCTAATCAAAGCCTACCTGAGATTGAAGACTTTCCAACTTACATGGTTCTTGAAGATCCAGATTTCGGAATAGTTTCTCAAAATGCTAAGATGGAAAAGTGTTATTTGAGATTTAAAGAGGTAGAAAAATATTTAGATGGCACTTTCAATCTAATTAGACAAAAGTTAAACTTGAAGTTGAATGAAGATGCCAAGTCAAAAGAAAAGATGGATAGGAAGGATAGAGAGCTGATTGTCTAAGCTTTTTATGTGATCCAAGACAACTTAAGTTTCAGAAATGATCTAAGAACGATTGAAACTCATCTTGTTCTTCGAAAGAAACTAAAGTGGAATGCTTGAATGTGAAAAAGGGGAGAATGTTAGACCTAGATTTTGTATTCAAGATAGGTGTTTTTTGTGTAAATACCCTTGAGGTATAAATATCTTTGTTTCCTTGTAAATGTAAAGTCATTGTTTGTTTTTCAAGTATTGTACTTTCCACTTTTTCTCTCAATATATAAAAGACATGTTGATTGTCAATTTGAGTTCTTGATTTTATCGTTGAATTTTGTTGTTTACTTGAATTTGGGATTAACAGAAAGGATCCTCATTGTTGTAGATAGGGATAAAGTGAAATAATTAGAGAAGTAAGGGGATGAGAGAGTAACGGCTCAAGCAATGGGTTGTAGACTTGTAGTACAAAACTGGGAAATTTTTTGAATATTTTGCGCCATTGCAGATTCGGCGGTAATAGCTAGATATATTGGGGAATAGTCGTAAAGTCTTTGTAGTCGAAGACTTGGTCGTTGAAGTAATCACCAATGTTTGACCGACAATCATCATCAATGTATGACGGATCTCCTACGACATATACCGTGGTCGGTTTTTCGGATGGTCCTGAGATTACCAATGTCTTCAAAAACAATTATCACTGACGTTTTTGCAATAATGATAACCATGGACGGCTGTGTGATAAGTGAAGTCATTGACGAAATTTCGATGACACTACTTATCGAAAGAATTATGACCATGTTAATTACGAAAGGATTTCGGACAAATAACATTAAAACACTGAGATAATGTTGACCAATTTCCAACGCGATATCCATAGTAATGCAGTTCATTGTATAAATATGCATTTTTCTATATTATGCATTAAATGAGCAAAATCAGTTTTACAAAATTGTATTCAAAATTTTCAATAAAAATACAAAATATGTTGGTACCTTACCTTATAATAACTAAGTAGAAGGGCGAGGGCGAGGGGCAAGGGTCTGCAGACCCGTATGTGGGAAGGAAGTCGTCACCGCCTGAGCTGCGCTACTACTCAAGCTTGAGTGCATGGGTTTCCTGCTCCGCCACTAGCACGCACGACTTCTTGCTTGGTTCCACCTCACGCGCCAACTAGACTGACTCCATTTTTTGGAGTTTTTCTAGCAGTTTGATTGCTCAATGTCTCAACATTGCATGTACGTAGCGAAACCCAGAGTCACGCAAATAGTGTTGAACCCAATAAGTCAACCCTTTTCTTCGACGTCCAACACGCCATTGTTCTCACGTATGGCCTACTCATACCGATTACTCTTACCAATCTTAAATTTTGATTTCCATGATTATTACATGCGAGTTTTGACACCACTCTGAGGTAGAAAAACATATGTTTAAATTATGGGTGTACGTGGGTTGGGTTGGGGCGTTTACAATATTTTTACAACCCAATCTAATTATGGCGGTTTGAAAAAATCTCAACCCAACCCAACCTAACCATTTTCAAAGTATAACTCAACTCAATCCAACCCAACCCTTACGGATTGAGGTGGGTTCGGTTGAGTTGGCGGGTTAGTAGTTATATAAATTTGACGAATGAAATAATTCATAAAACTTAAGTTTATAGACCATACTGTAAAGTGTCTTATCTAAAAATGCTAGAATAGGTTTATATGACGTTTTTGGACGTTTCAACAAGTGTTTTAGAATGACCTTTAAATAAAATATCGTGTTACTTATTTTATAGAAATATTTTGAGAAGTGCCTTGTAAACTCATCTATTTATAGGACAACTATGTTCATATAACACTTTTTCAAGCCATGTCGTATAAAATAATTAATACGACACTTTATTTTAAAAGTATCATAAAATTTGCTATGACGTCCAAAATCATCCTATATAAACATATTGTAACTGTTTTAGATAAGAAAATTTTCTTGTTTCATTCTATAAAATATCATAGTAGCTCGTTTAGACATTTTAGACATCTTATAAGATCTAATGTTGTTGTAGCGAAATGTTATAACTAAACATTTTCTTTTTACTAAAGTACAACATAGAATAACGGGGTATTTAGATTGATTGATTCGTCAACCAAATATCTATCAATATCATTCATCATCTCCAACATATCAATTTGTTGTTACTGCAAAAAAAATTCAATAACTTTCTGTATTAATTAAATTATTTGTCATCATTCTTTAATCGTGAATATCTTTTGATAACCTATACGTTAACGTTTAGTTAAAATGAAATAGAAACGTAATATCAATAAAAATTATATAAAATTTGTACATTATTAATATATATATATATATATATATATATGTATATATATAACTATTTATAAATAAAATTTTATAAAATTTTTATATCAGTGGCGGGTTGACGGGTTGGGCCTAAACCCTCCTAGTTGGCGGGTTAACGGTTAGGCACGTTGGTTTTAGTTGAGTTGTTAGCAGGTTAGGTTAGACGGGTTTCACGAGTTGACAGTGTTTTATACACCTCTAGTTTAAATTTTATTTTTAAATCTTTATTTTAATCTTTTAGGTCTCCCTCGGTAAACCTTTGATAATTACTAATGGATTTAGAAAAGCATCAAATAAAAAGTAAAGTTTAAATAATATGTCACTTACCAACTGATTGTTATAATTTTATTTTATTTTATTTTATTTGATGTTTCTTTTTTCTAAATCCATAGGTAATCATGTATAATAAGTCTAGGCTTACGGTGGGATTATTTAAATTTGTTTTCATATAATTGATTTATCAGTTGTGTGTAATCGGTCAGTCAATTAGAATATTACATACCGATATGAAAACCAAATGTGAAAAGTTTTGAAAACCTTTTTGATTCATGCTTGATAGTCATTAGTAAATAATTATGGAACAATCAGTTGGTAACTGTCTGTCATTAAAACTTACCTTTTACATATATCTCAAGCAATGAAAGATCTAAAGAAGTTGAGAAATAGAAAGAGAACAGAGTCTTTGGGGTTTTTATGTTTAAAAGTGTTAAAATAGAGGAAGTAGAATAAAACAACAGTTTTGCATCGTTCTTAAAAAGGAGGTAGACGGGTATTAGGGTCATGGACCAATTCCAAAAACAAAATGCAAAACTTGGGGATTATTCGGTAATAAATGAAGTTCAGGGTCCAAAACCATAACTTTCAACAAACTATAGGGCCAAATCTATAATTTATTTTATATATTATGAAATTGTAGGTTTTTCTGCTGAATGGTTGAAAACAACTTATTTCCTATTATTTCTTAATGATGAAGTGAGTGGCGTGGCATGCATGAACCCAAGGAAATGTGCATGACAAAGATGAGAATTTACCACCCTTCCCCTCTCTCGTTTCGTTTTTAGCTCACGCGGAGGCACGTAATACTCCCCAGTCTCATAAACATGAGACACCAAAACTACACACACCCACTCTAGAGAGAGACAGAAGGCAAAAAAAAACTAATTAACCTCACGAGACTGCAACACATAGCATTTATAAGTACCTAGCTAGTCGTATGTAGTAGACTAATGCACACACAGACACACGAAAACCACACACGTAAACACACACCTTATATATATATCCATATCTATATGTATATACCCATATCCACATATACGTCGACTGTGTGTTTCTTTTTTCACCCATATTGCAGAAACGATCTGTCAGAAAGATTGGAGAATAATGTCTCATATTGCTGTTGAGAGAAATAGGAGAAGGCAGATGAATGAACACCTCAAGGTCTTGCGATCTATGACTCCTTGCTTCTACATCAAAAGGGTTGGTATTCCTTTTTTATAAATGAAACCCTAATCAAGAAATACCTAATTTCCTTCATATAATGATAAGAGTTTGGCTGATGATTGCTCATGGTCTTCCTTGTGAGCTTTAATGACAGCAATTGTTCGTCCATCTTTATGTCAAATTGCATAAGCATACGGTTACACTGATCTGTATGTTGGTGTTTTTAAGTGGTATGATCAAGGAGAGATTACAGATTTTATGATTCTATGACTGATTGAATTAGAAATTAAGGAGTTTAATCCAATCACTCAGAGAAACTCCGATCAGCTTCTATAACAAAAATTGCATGTTTTTCATTTTTTAGGTATCCCATAAAAATAACATGGTCTTTTATTAAGTTCTAATCGGAAATTGTTTAATTACTATACACTAATTAGGGTTTTACTAAACCACCAATCATTACACTAAGTTTGTTTGTTTTCCATATGCTTCGGTAGGGAGACCAAGCATCAATCATAGGAGGTGTAATAGAATTCATCAAGGAAATGCAACAAGTTTTACAGTCGTTGGAATCAAAGAAAAGGCGTAGGAGCATAAGTCCTAGTCCTGGTCCAAGCCCAAAGCCGATATTGCAACCAAGCACCCCACAATCAGAACGCTCTACTATTGTGCATGAAAATATCAAAGAACTTGGAGCATCCTGTAACTCACCAGTTGCAGACGTGGAAGCAAAGATCTCAGGGTCAAACGTTGTCTTGAGGACTGTATCACGAAGGATTCCAGGTCAAGTTGTTAAGATAATCAATATGTTGGAAAATCTTTCTCTTGAGATCCTGCATCTAAATATCAGCAGCATGGAGGACACTGTCCTTTACTCCTTTGTCATCAAGGTATATGAATATATGCCCCTAACATTCTAGCATCAGAAGTTATGGTATGCACCACATTTATTTGTTTTTTAAGACTCACGAAGCTACAGCCATTTCTGAGATGTCACTGAATGCAAAAACATAATGAGCTGCTGTAGTTTCTTATATTCTGGGATCGCAATTTGCCAGAATGTGGTGGGTTTTTAGCTTTTTAATGTCATATAATTAAGGTAAGAAAAACACAATAGCTTTACAAATTCAGCTTGCAGTGAGAGTCAAAGATTTGAATATTGGCATGATGTTTGAAGGATCTTTAAACAAACTAGGAACTCGGAATTGAAGCATACTATTTAGTGACGGGTTTGAATGTAATTTTATTTAATTTAACCAAAGGGAAATAAGTGCGCCATGTTAACAACGAATCTTAAACCCACAGTTATCAGATTTAACCATTGATTAGTTACTAGTCTGACTAAAAGACCATTGTTGTTTGGATGCAGCTGCTAGTGACAGATCGATGAAATGGATGAAGAACAAAACTAAATATAGCCTCCAATTTAAAGATTAAAATTCATGATTATTAGACGAAGAAAAGTGATTATAAACTCCCCCGTCTCCACTAAAAACATGGAGTAACTCTATCATCTATATATGCTAGTACAATCTGCATGTCTTAGTAGGTTTTGGCCATCTTGATCGAGTTTGATGTTTATTGATCTATATTCATCTCGTCTGTGGTGCGTAATAATATCATGTACATTGGATTAAATGTTATATGCAGATAGGACTGGAATGTCAACTTAGTGTTGAAGAACTTGCAGTTGAAGTGCAGAAGAGCTTCTCTGCTAATCTTACATAGCTCCATCCATATCATCACTTATGTACTTTTGAAGCTTGTTGAGTAGTATTCCTTTAAACTCAGATGAGCTAAATAAGAAGAAGAATTTATCTGTTTTGCTTCTTAAATCCATAAATAGTAATCAATTTCAGGAAGCTGCTTATGCCTTTTAAACTGTCATTACTGGAAAATATATTTGTCCAGCTTGTTATTATCTCAAAATTTGTATTTCCAAGATGGCCATCGACGTTTAATAGATACCAAAATAGTTTTTTCCTTCGGAAGTATCTTGTAAAAAACTCGCCTATCTTAAGCAACCCGGAAATCTTGATTTGTATCTCTCAATGAATCAAGTACAACCTGCTCATCACTATTTCTATCATAACAACAATAACCGTTTCCCTTAACTAAATTATACAGTGACCATAATGTTATGTTATATTAGAGGTGATCATTTGGAGGCTTGATTCAAGGGTGATTATTTGCTCACTTGGTTCGGCTCTCGAGAGGGCCTAACTATTTTTCTCATCTAACACCCCCAGATCCTAAGACCATCCACATCCCTGCAATCCATTTACACTTTCAATTGTGTCATATCAGCTTTTGCAATTATCTTCCACACACCTGCAATTCACCTACAACACTTTCAACTGTGCCACGTCACCTACACTTTCAAAAGTGGTCCCCACTACAACATTTATTAACTATTTTATAAATTATTTATATATACATTCTAATTATTTTTTAATTAATAACATTTTTATTTTAATTCAATGTTAATTAAAACGATTAATATATGATATAATAT